AGTCACGTGGCAAATTCTCACTGCTGAGATCACTTTCCCTCCGGCTCAGAAACTGCTAAGGAAAATACCCACTGGCTACTATTGCACAATGCCTCTGATTTTCACCTTCTTTGCCACCAGTATTCAGCAGCTGAATAGCCTAGGGCACAATTACACTATTTAAATTGAGTGGTAGATCTGAGGTTTTGAAGTCAGTTTAAAGTCACGTGGTAGTAATGGGTTTTGGTTGGTGTGTGCCTCTTGGGACAACTTTTAATTTATTTTTTAGGATGTGTTGGATATTGGTCAAGGGGGTTACATGGGATTTAAAATGGTTGCATTTGAGGCTTTGTTCTGCATCTGCCAGCCCTTGTGCTGGCATATGTGCTTGATTGTGTGGGGTTTGTTAAATAATAGATGCCAGAATCAAGAGTTTCTGGCTGCAGAGAAACCTTGCAGTCTAATCTGCTGGGGGTTTTTCTCCTGTCTGTAATACTGAACTAGAAGTATCCCAGTTTGACCGAAATAAACACTAAAATAAACATTTAAAATGACATTGGTGGTGAATGCTGTGAGAGGTACCCAGTGTGAATGTGGGCAGGCATCACAAACTCATTGCATTTGAAGCATTGTCTGGTCCCCGCACACCCTCATGTTGTGCTGCCTCTCACAGCCATTCATCACTACACCACTGATGTCATTTTTAATATTTGTGGGTTTAAAATTTATTTCAAACTGAGATAGCAATAGTTCATTATTACAGATAAAAAAATTAAAAATAGAAACAGACTGGACTGCAAGGTTCCCTGGCAGCCTGAACTTCACAAACCTCACAGATACAATTTACACAGGCAAGCACACATGATCAAACGATTTAAACTAAATCATGTCCACAGTCAATTTAAAATAAACAACCCCTTTGAGGCTGTTTAAAACACCTTGCTTTCCAAAGGAAAAAACTACATGCTGAGTTGTGTATCATATTATTTTCTATGTGTAAAAGATAATATTTTGATATTTAAATTTTTGATCCAAACAGAAATATCAGATTTTAAAATCTGAGTATTTATTGATAGCAGGGTCGTGGTGGCATTGCAGGTTAAACCACAAAGCCTCTGGGCTGCAAGGTTGAAAGACCAGCAGTTTGAATCCACACAGCAGATTGAGCTCCCGTCACTTGTCCCAACTCCTGCCAACCTAGCAGTTCGCAATCATGTAAAAATGCAAGTAGATAAATACCCACAGTGGGAAGGTAATGGCGTTCCATGTCTAGTTGCGCTGGCCACGTGACCATGGAAACTGTCTATGGACAAACGCTGGCTCTACAACTTGGAAACGAGGATGAGCACCTCCCCCAGAGTCGGACACGACTGAACATTTTTCTAGGAAAACCTTTATCTTTACCTTATTTATTGATATTTTTGTTGCTGGTATGTGTTTATTGTCTTTGGAATGGTCAGATGACTTATTCACTAAAGTAAAATAGTAAAGATAAGCCACTTAATGCCCAGAAACCCACTGCTTGTCTAATGCCTTATGCTTGGTAGTCCTGCAACCTATTATAGTAAGGCTTACTCCTGGAAAGAGACATGAGCTCTGATTTGTGGCCTACTGCTGCATTTTGTAGGGTTAATGCAAACATATCAGAACTGGTAAGAAATCTGTCTCCTCTCCCCCACTTTGTTTTGACCTTGCCCTATGCTCTTAGCTCTGCCCTCTGCTAGAATGCAGCTTTCAACATCCTTTTGAAAGTTATATTCAGTGCCCTACAGGGCAAAAACAAAGCAAAAAAGAAAGTTTTCCCACTCACGCTTTATAATAGTTGTGTAAACTGGCCACTTGTGTCCTGCCTATATAATTGAGCGTTGCCAGTTTCCAGAAAGGGGTGATACAAAATAGCCCACATTACAGTAATTGTGTTACTGGGATTTGGGAATAAGTCCAGACACACTTACAAGAAAAAGCACTGAAAAGGCAAGAGAAGTATTTCTGTTTCCACCAGCCAACATCTCCATCCCTCAAGGGAAGCCCAGACCTGCTGTCCTGCTTTGTGAACAAGGAGACTGTCCTTGTGATCTTTCACACTTCAGGTGCAAAATAGCCTCTGAAGCATAAGGCGTTTGAACTGAGATGTGCAGGAAGCAGGTCTGTTTGGCCGCTGCAGGGGGGGCAGCCTGGATTTTTCACCCTCTAGGATCTCTGCTCTCCTTTGCTTCCATTATCGTGAAGACAACTTTGTTTAAATGCATTCATTTGGCTCCGTCTCAGCCAGACGGAGATTTCACTTGTGGTTTTGCACATTGGCTTTGAGGAACTCTCATCAGCAAGGCCATTTCTCCTCACCGCAAGTCTGTGGCTTTTGTCTGCTGATAGCATGTCTGACAACAACACATCCTCTCTAAGCAGAAAGAGAGCCCCAAATGGTTGATCAACAAGAAACATTATCCCCCCAAGTGCAACTACGTTTACATTACACTTCAGCTGAATGGAAATCTTATGCCAGCAAGGGCTGGGCCAGGAGCTTATTTTGTTGAGTTAATGTGTGTTTGATGAAAGATGAAAGTCAGCAGGCAAACAAGGGCAAGAAGGGCTGCTTGTTCACTGCCACCCAACAATTGTCTGCCCCAAGAGAAGGGGTCTCTGCTTGTGGGGCTTTGCTTTCTTTGGCACTTTAAGTTCCTTTAGTACAATTAAATATATGAGCATTTAACTACATGAACAAAACCACAGTTAGAAATGGTACTTTTTCTGCACTACAGCTCCCAGAATCCTCCAGCCAGAGGCACTGTGTTTAAATTTGCATCTTACCCCAAGAAGCCCAGGCCAATGGCGGAGAACCTCTGGCCTATCTTTCATTCCTAACTGTCCTGATTAAATAGCATAAAATATGGAATATTTTCCCTTGTGCTTTGCCATTCAGTGACCACCTGAAAAGGCTGTACATAAAAACAGAAAGACCCTCAGCCAAATTAGTTCTTAAGGGAAATTTGTATTCCCTGAAACTAACATGGGAAACTGGCACTGCAGTTTCCTTAGTAAGGCATGTCTCTGCAACCATATTTTCATATAAAACCTGGGTTCATCTTCCAAGGGTCAATCACACATAAAAAGCACACTAAATGTAAGGTATATAGGTTAAAAAAAAATAATGTGCTATGGCAAAAAAGTAATTTACTACACATGGGACAACCGTTTCTAAAAACATGCTAAGCATATCAAGTGTGACTCCCTTACTATTTGCTAAAGTGTGCTTCTTGTATAGACCACCAGTGCAGTTTTACAAAGTTCAGTTTCTACTTTCTTTTACAGCAAATTTTTTCACTGCCTCCCTGCTAGTTCTCCTTTATATTCCATTTTAAAATAACCTTTAAAAATTGCAGGGTTGGTGGCACCGGTGGGGTGGTTTCCCTCTAGACCTGCTACATTTTCTTTTAACATGGGTGGTGGTGGTAAAAAAACACGAATGATCACAAAAGAAAAGACAGAAGGTCAAGGATTAGAAAGTGGAGTAATGTAGATGAACTGTATTTTTTAAAAAAAGTGAACGAAACATGGCAATTCCACAATAAACACCTACCTCAGAAGCAACCATGGGCTAGCAGCAGCCCTCACGTCCTATTTTGTGAATCACAGCTGTTGAATTAAAGGTAAAACCAATAAAACTGTTTGCTCCTTGAACAATCAGGTGGCCATATAACTCAAGTCCTGAAAGTAAGGTGTCAGCTGAACTAGAAAATTTGTATCTGTTTATTTCGACTAAAAACAGAGACCACAGATATATGCATTGGGATGCTAATGGCCTGAGGAGGGTGTCAAATATGTTTTAAAAAGGTCTCCAGTTTCCCCTGCCTCCTTAGAAATAATAACATGCAAAGGCCAGTACAGTTTGCTTCTTTTTCGCTTGGTTATCTAACTGTTGGTAGTTAGAGATGGTAATATTTGTTTTCAGTCCCAAAAATGTGTTCTTATCTATAAAATTCAATGTTCATGCTCTGTCTTACTAATAGCTACTTCTGCTTACTTCCTTTTGTCCTGATTATGCTTACTCTGTTTAATATATATTTTCAAAATAAATGACATTCTCAAGTATCACGTTAATAATCTTCCTATACTGAAAGAACTGATTAACGAACAGTAGTATTCAAGTTTTAGCAAGTGTCTTTATTTTCTAAAATTTTATTTGTTTATAGCTCATCTTCCTCCCAGTAAAGGGCCATAAGGTGGCAACACAAGGATCTATTCCTTTCTGATTAACATTTCTGAGCAGAACGTTATCTGGTATCAACAGCGCTTCTATCTGCATTTAGCATAAATAAACTGACCATCGGAAATAACAGTTCCAAGATAGTCTTAATATCAAGAATGGCACCCTTTTCCTTTGAAGAACTCTTGTGCTTTTAATATGCAAAGTGTAAGCTGTTTCATCTTTAATAACAGGATGTTAGGCCCAAACGTTAGCTTG